AAAGGGTTCTCACGATGGTGTATAATACTCTGTAATTCTGAGTAGTTTTTTCCGCATATCCTATAAACCGTCTAGCAGGTATTGTAGAAGTTCTATAAAGAAGAGTTACCAGTCGGGAAATTCGAACATTCAGCTTTGTTGATCCTTAAAGAATAGTGTGCTAAGGTCATAAGCGGACTTCTCCATATATTGTACTCTATAAACAGTTTCTTAGATTCTGTTGAAAATCGATATGGGCGGCTTGCATAAAGAGTTGTCGGAAACTTTATATTCAGCCAAGCTGGTCCATGATAAAGTCCCAGTGGCGGCTCGTGACCGTTTGAACAGGTTTCCTCGCCCTCGTGCCTATAATTAAGGCAAGAGAGGAAAAGCTGTGTTTTTATTTAAATTTTCAAGAATTTATTTCTATGTCACGAAGTACCCCTTCCCCTTCTTTCGCAAGTATAGGAATTTTTTACAAGAACATTTGAAATAACGTGGCCGCGTCGCCTTCGCCTGTCCACCTTATTCATGTTGGTTTAAATGCAAGTTTGGGAAGGATTCAGAACCCTGTAGGCTTGCTAGTGCCTTCCATCACGCGTCGATCGTAAGAACGGACGGGTAGACCGACGCTTTTACACGTATACTGTAGTTGTTCAGCAGGGCCAACTATATTCCTCACATCTCTCCTTTAGGTTCTTTGAAAATCTTTATAACAAAGAATCATGTGACACTCGATCAATTAGAAGTTGTCTCTAATTCAGTTCGACATATCCACTTCCTTTTACTTGCGGTAGCTATTTAGTACAAGCACTAAAATTATTATAGGCTCAATTTCTTCTTTTGTGGTATCGCGTTTGAAATTACCGCTAATTGTATAGTACTCGTATGTCCAGGATTCGCACGGGAACTTTCAGCCATATTCATATTATGAACCCGTCACTATGATACGAACACATAAATGCACTCTCTCTTACTTAGTCGCACACAGGCAAAAAAGAGACAGTGTTTTTCTCAGGCTGAGAAATGGAATCCAACCTGAAGCGTGAAAGGGAAACTCGGATGCTCGGACAAGTGGGGGAGCCAAGATAAAATCCGGAAAAACACGAGGATCAGCAACCCGCTGCCCTACGTTGAATGGAACAGACTTGTGAGGGGAAAGCGCGACACCTATCAAGCGCCGTAAGCAAATTAAACTTCCGTGGAAAAGTGAACTGAGTTCAAGACTTGTGAGGTAGGCCCTCCATGAACTGCTTACAAGCCAAGCGATATCTCTGCGGAATCTGAAAAATATTTTTACGCTATTCCGAATGTACTATAAATCTCTATGCCATGCCAAATATAAACTAGAAATTTGTCGATCTAATACGTTTAATGCTTTTGGGCGTTACTGGAGCCCGGCCCTTAGGAACGAGCCGCCTCTGTAAATCCTATTTAACTTAATATTATAAATGAACTTCTCTGTGTATTCTGTGAATAGTTCATAGATGCTGAAATTTGGTATGTGAGATTTCCACAAAAACTGTAGGTAAATTCGACTTTCGGCCATATTGATCCACAATAAAGCATGATTTACATAGCGCCACAAGTCGACTTTCCCATGCATTCCACAGACCATTTCATAGGTTCTGTCAAAATTAGATACGGGAGACACCACAAACGTCTGCAACTATATTCATCTCTATTACTCCATAACGACCGCCTCTGTGGTCTAGTGGTCAGAATTCTTGACTATAGATCCAGAGGTCCGGATTCGATTCCCGGCGCTACCAGTTTCTCTGAGAAGTAGTGGATCTGGAACGGGGTCCATTCAGCCTCGTGAGGATAGTTGAGGAGCTTTTTCAATGAGATAGCGGCTCCGGTCTAGAAAACCTAAATTAACGGCCGTGGGGATTCGAGGGGGCTAACCACGCGACACCCTCTATCCGTGAAAGTTGGTACTAACTTCGCCGACAAGCGGCGGTCGCTCGGTCGGTATAGTTCGCCTGCGGGATAAAACCACGGAGTTTTCTTATTGTTTTGTTTACTCCATAAAAACGTCAAGTTTTGTGTACGGCCTAAAACGGGCGCTTCGACGTATCCCACGAACCATTTCATAATTTCTATTAAAATATGTTAGGCAGTTCCAATTTTCAGCCATATTAATCGACAATAATAGTCGCCAGTCACAGTTGCTTCAGCGAAGAAAAATGGGCCGTGCACTTTCTCGCGGGACATCGCACAGAAAACGTTGATTTTGGAGTCACGTCGGTGCTCTACCTGTGCATATGGTTGTTCTGTTCCCCAGATACGGTCATTGTGTCTGTTCACCTTGCCACTGATGTGGCATGTGGCTTCATCGGAAATCAGTCTTTCTACGAACCCATCTTCCTCCATTTTCAACTGCATCTCCTCGCGAAAGTCACGCATTTTCACTTTGTCTGCCGGTTTAAGGGCCTGCACCAATCCCATCTTGTACGGTTTAAAACATAACCGATGACGCAACACCATTTTTGGCATTCCCAATTCCCTGCTTCCTCTACCCACTGACTTGCGGGGACTTCGCTGGAACACCTCACGCCCTCTTTCAATGTTGTCATCAGACACATGAGGTCGACCTTGTCTTTACACAAGCATCCAGTTTCTATAAACTGTCGGCACCACCTGCTTATGTTATTCTTGGGTGGTGCGTCCTTTTGAAACCATTCGCGAAACTCACGCTGCACTGTAATCACAGATCTGGACACCTCAAAACGGAGCACACAGAAGGCCTGCTCCTACTGCAACGCCATCTTTGAAACTGGCCCCGCGGGCATACAGTAAGCATGGGAAGCGAACTGCTGGTAGTGCATGAGAAACTTGACAGTTGCTGCCACTGACGGTGTATGTTGTGCCTGTGTAAGTTGAGAAACAACTTTTTTATTAACTTTTGAAACCTCACCATTCTTTTGTGTATACCCTGTAAGTTGTATTTAAGACGAAAATACATGTGATATAAATGATATATTAATGCAACAGGATACTTAAATATAATATTAGGAAAAGAAAACCATGGGTGCATCCATTCTTCTGTGACAATTTAAACGGAGGCGCTTATATTGTTTCGAAAGAAGTTAACCTGGATCCAGGCTCCTTCGTCTCATGAGAAATTCTTTCGCCAGCCAAATCTGTTTTGTCCTGCCTAGCATAGCCTGAGTGGCTCTTGCTCAGTTAACTGCACAAAAACAAAATTAACAGTTTCATCATCCTTTCGTCCCATCTTAAGAAACCAATGAATCACTAACCTGCATTACAGAACCGCTCACACTAGGAAACCACGCAGCAACACAATTGTAAGAAGACTGGAATGTTCCATTGCCTGGAAATTGCATTTCTCCGCAAGTCTCTCCGCAAGTTATGTTGCCGTTTCTTCAATTCCCGCTGCTCCATTCAGTATCACTGGTTCAACTCAGGCTGATAACAATTATTGGAAATCTCGGTTGCCAGTTTCCTTGGTGTGCTCAAGGATAGCCCCTTCTAAAGGTTGTTCGCCCCCGAACAGCCTAACGGTACTTCCTTGGTTTCGTTTCCTAAGGTGTTCATCTTCCGCGTGTTACCTCCGCCTTTCCTTCGGTGTTTTGCCTTCCATCCATCCACCCCCCTTCCTCCAGAGTGCTTGCCCCGACACTTCCAAGGTCCAGGATTTGTTGGTCCCATTGTCTCACATTAATTCCTCACATTCATTCTTTCCTCATTCATTCCTGCTAGGGAGGCCAGTGCTTCTACGTTACCGGTTCCTCCCACACAGGCCGTTTCCCTTTTTTCGTTTTGGAGGGGGTCGACCCCTCCACAAGATCCAATTCTTGACATTTTGTGATGGGACATGAGATTCGGTAATTCGCCTTGCAGTCTCATGACTGGTCATTTTTCTGTAGGGCTCGATCCTTTTTCCTCTTGTTACACTGCGGTTGCGCCCGTTGTCTCTTCCAAGTGTCCATCCTTTTGAGCTTCCTAAAATCACTTTGTCCCTGGTGCGGTTCCTTCCGATGGAGATTTCCTTGCGCCATGCCATTTTCGCATGGCGGGTCGTGTTCAGCCCGAGGATGTCTCTCATGCGTCGTGCCACGGTTGCGCGACGGGACATCTTTATGTTGCTTCTCTTCTCCTCTTGCCATGCCATTTTGCATGGTGGCTCGTCGCTCTGCGGGCGACGGCCAATTTCTTCTGGGGTTTACAATTCTCCTGTGTTGAATTTTTTGGTTTCTGGCGGCGGCGCTCCGCGGCCAGTTTTCGGTCCTTATGCCTTTTCTTCTTCTGTTCTCCGACCGGCATTACTTCGGTGTCTTCTTTGGAGACCTCTCGTTGTTCTGCTGCCTCAGGTTTCCTGTCCAGTGAGGTCGGCTTTCTCTCTTCTTGACATGCCTCCATCTCTTGGCAGGCCAACGTTTCATTGTGGTTGTCGTTCACCCTTTTGTCTCTCATTACGGCCATCTCTTCATGTCTGGCGTCCGCCTTTTCTTGCATGGCTAGCAGAAACGCCATTATTTGTTGAGAACCCATTTTTCCTTTTGTGCGTTATAACACTCGAGGTGATGTTAGTCCAATAACCCTTCTAAATTCGTCTCAGAATCTGAACTAATCTCACTTCTGACACCTGTTGTCACATGTTGGGTATGCCACACGACAAATAACTTCACATGGGTCTCAGATTTAGCGAATCTGCAACAGAGGAATAGTGTTTTCTACATGGTCCATGCCAAGATGTGACAAGCACGACAGGTTAGGAGTTGCAGTTAGATAACTGCAGGACTCAGTTGTTGAGAGCTGTTGCTGTGAGGAACTGGTAGCTGAGGCTGCGGACAGTTCAGGAACCCAGAGGAAAGGCAACGTCCACTGTTATAAGCTGCTACCAAGCAACGACTAGTGAAGACTGTAACAGACTGAGAAGACCAATTGGGTCTATTGTGATTTATAAGGTGTGTAGAACAGTGAGAGCATAATCCTTACTTGTAGTTATGAGTTATAAGAGTTCAGTAAATCCAATTACAAATCCAACCACCATCTATAATCACTCTATCATGTGACAGTATTTATGTAAAGGTTGCTTACAGAGATATCTGTGACTACATGTTTTAATGTCTTTCCTTTCATTATACATCTAGTGTGTAAGGTAACAACTACTGCACTTATTCTATAAAAAGGGGCAAAATATTAATTCATGCAAGTGATTGAAATTCATTTAATGCAAAAGAGAAATTATGTGACAGTAAATTTAATACTTTAAGTAGCAATACAATAACAATTTCAGTGAAATGAAATACTAAAGCATGACACCTAAAATCCATAATTGCCGGTATAACAATGACTCAACTGCAGAGAATATTAGGGGAGGCATCAATAGACATTGAGAAAGAAGTATTTCAGATTCAGATCTTTAAAATTTTGAAAATGGTACACTGTTATAAATGGAAAATAAAACTTGAAGTATAATAATGATTAAGAAACATACCAAAGGAAAAGTTTATATTTTGACAAAAGAAAAAAGGTGCCATTATGACATACTGTTGCATATCACAAGGGTCCTCCCATGGCAGTGAACAGTCTAAGCTACTGCCATGTATTTGATCATATATGATAAGCTTTGAATTTCCTGTTATTATGGATAGAAGTCTTAAATTTTATTCCACATTTCAGTGTGAATTGTGGTCTCAATGTGGCAACTGTGTAGAGGCAATATTTCAGCTGTATCTACACAGGACTACATTATTCACTAATTACTTGGTCTGTGCCTCTAAGGAGGACATAGTGTATATATGTATAAGGGTATTTTATCAGCAGTATGGAAGCATCTGATTATTTTTTAAACATCATTCAAACTCAATCAGAACATCATCTTCTCCAACAGTGTCTCCAGCTTTCACATGTACAGCTTTCACTTTTCCAGATGCACCCGCCACTAATGAATTTTGCATCTTCATGGCCTCTACAACAAACAGCAAAGCAAATATGATTAGATGTGTTGAACATGTAAGATACATGTGTTGCATTTTATTCTGTTGATAATGCCAGGGGTGTTCCAGTATTAATGAGAGAAGCGCTTGTGGCTACCAGTAGTTAACTCTTAGACAGTTACGTTTTTACTACATAGGTGACATACCCACACTGGGTTTAATTTATTTACTTATTTGTCAAATATGTTTACAATATTATATTTAAGCATCCTGTTGCACTCCATACGATAAATGGTACAATGATACAAATTCTGTCCCAAGTGCAAACAATATATTATGTGTCCTTGATCTTGCTCCTCTACACTACATGTTTCGGCCTCAGACGGCCATCATCAGGTGTATAACACTCACGTTGCTGTCACACTGCACCCGGCCCAAAATTTAACATTTAAAACGCTTTCCTTGTTATTATCAACATCTACTTCGTTGATATCTGTCTGGTTTGTAGATTATTTTACACACGTAGTAAAGAATAACAGCGGCACGCACACAGGAAGACTACACAGGATAACACCTATACAGTGTGGAAACAAGAACTAGCCGCTGCAGCACTTTAGACATAGGGCGAGTAACCCTAACAATTTTAAATTTAAAATTTAGAGAAAAATTTTAAATGATTTTAAAATTAGAACTAAAGATTTTATGGTGCTATTACAGGAATGTCAAAATTAACGTGTGTAAAATAATCTACAAACCAGACAGATATCAACGAAGTAGATGTTGATAATAAGAAGGAAAGTGTTTTAAATGTTAAATTTTGGGCCGGGTGCAGTGTGACAGCAACGTGAGTGTTATACACCTGATGATGGCCGTCTGAGGCCGAAACATGTAGTGTAGAGGAGCAAGATCAAGGACACATAATATATTGATTGCACTTGGGACGGAATTTGTATCATTATATCACTTAAAATATGTTTACATTTATAAAAATATATAAAACATTGATATTGTGGTTTTCTGATTTATGATGGGTACTAACATTTCAGAGGAACATATTGCTTTAATTCTGAGGATAAAAGTCCTAGTACACACCTACCAAATTACTATATGGTATCTTAACCCAGAAGGCCACAACATGAATTTTTGCTACCACCATGAAAATCTCAGATCTTCTATATGAATGAACATTGCTATATAACAGATTTGCAACAGTACTTGTAAGAACTATGGAGCAAATATCTACAAATATATACATCACCTGTACTTAGAATTCATACAATGTTGTGATCAGATGGAAATTTATAGGGAGCATAATATTACAGGAATTAAGTGCCAACAGTATTACTCACATGCCTGTCAAGATGATGTACTTTGTCAGACGTATTCACTAGAAAATTCCCAGATTTCTCTATAGAGTAGATGTAGTTCAGTATGTTCAAGGAAGGTCACACAGATTAAAGATGATCAGATTTCAATACAGTTTCAAATTAATTAAAAATTCATATCAAACTAGTACACAATGCACTGATGCCCTAACAGAGTTTTAATATGTGGAATTACTCTAAACATTCAATAAAACTAACATACAGCACAATCTCATAGCTCCATAATGTGGCGTTCTTTTTAAACACACTAGGCTACATCTGCTGACAAGTTCAAAATACTGAATCCACTGCTGCAGTTATCTTTCCAGAGTTCTGTAGCCGAACTTCTTTCTCTTCATTCACTTTTCCCTTTCAGGGTTAATAGGATTAATGCTAAAAGGAATTAGTTAAAGGAGTGGGCACCAGTGAGAGATGTACTTTCATAAATGTCACTAATGGCAGGTGAAAGAAATCTGAATGGACGGACTAGGGAGCCAGATAGCATGAGAATCTCAAGGGTTTTACCATCAGAACTACCAGCATCAGTGGTACTGAGGCTGATTTCTTCACCACCAGAAGATAAAATGAAACACTTCAATGAAATATGTAAAAAAGTACAACACAATTCACTCTTCATTCACATACAGTTGGTAAGCTGATAGTCCCAAATCTTGCAATTAAAATAAATTATGCTTATAACACTTTCATTTAAATGCTCAACACACATCCACTGTGGTTCAAGTGGTGACTCTAAATAATATTCAGGTTTTGGAGCTAGCATGTTGGAAAATGATGCTGGAAACCAAAATAAGCTGTTTTTCAGAAAGTATATAATTCTCTCAACTGATATGTTGCATTCAAACTGGGTAACTGCCCAAATACAAATTTGGTTGGCTGACTCTTACAACATCCATTTCAACATGTGTGAAACATTCAGCTTGGGGGGTGTCACTTTCGAACTTAAAGTTCTGAAACTTATGGTTGCAGAGACCTGTCAAGGAAATGACAAACTGGTGCCTTGACATCTCAAAATTTCCACTGAAACATAGCATTGTCAGTGCAAGACAAAACAATACAGCATCATAAAAGTCAAAATCATGGCTTAATTTGTGGCCTACTATTTAGTATATATATAAAATTATAAAAAATTATAAACCTGTAAATTTAAGTGATAATAAATAAATGTCAAGTTATGACTTCAGTAAAATAATAATTAAATTATTTAAAGCGGTCCTAAAGAAAAGTTGACAGTACACCACAGGATAGGTGCAGGATCAGTTTTTCAATTCAGAATGATAGATATGTGCATTGCAATGTCAGAGACATGCCTTAACAGAACAACTTACTTACTTACTTACTTACTTACTTACTTACTCATGGAGCTGAGCCCTTCTGGAGGAGCCGCCAATTCTGCAGCCACTCAAGAATTTCCCAGCATTTTATGGAACCTGAAGGTTCATCACCGTGTTCACAAGAGCCCTCTGCTGGTCCCTATCCTGAGACAGATCTATCCAATCCATACCATCCCATCCTATCTCTTTAAGATCCATTCTAATATTGTCCACCCACCTATGCCTTCACCTTCCCTGTAGTCTCATTCCTTCTGGCTTTCCCACCAGTATCCTATATGCATTCCTCGTCTCCCCCATTCATGCTACATGACCTGCCCACCTCATCCTCCTTGACTTGATCATTCTAATTATACTTGGAGAAGAGTACAAGTTATGAAGCTCCTCATTATGCAGTTTTCTCCAACCTCCTGTCACTTCATCTCTCTTCGGTCCAAATATTCTCCTCAACACCCTGTTCTCAAA